ATGCTGTGAAACAGCTGCCAAGCAACAAAGCCAGGGGAAATGGCTAATTAGGACTGTCTACAATCTTGCTAGGGCAAATCACCAAAACATCACCAATACATTTTCAGACATTACCAGCCTCCCCTGCTGTGTTATCCATCATAGGCCTTTCAGTTCCAAGACCTTCCTCATTCCCTGAGTATCATTTCTCAGGGTAAGGCCATGTGGGACTTTTAAATGTCACCTCCCACCAAACATACCTGCTCCCTTCACTGCAGCTTAAGCAACATACAGGTGCCATCCTCCTAAGAACACAAATAGCAGGCTTTGGAGAGCAGAGGACACAGACCCTTAGCAGGTGGGACAGCTGAATCAGTGTACTGAAGAGAAGAATTTATTAGTCATACAATAGAAAGTTCCTTCCAGGAAAATTTCTATTGAGATGCAAATTCACTGTCCTTTCCCAGCACAAAATAAACTCATTTCCTGTGTACAAAGCTCACACAATCAGACATGCAGAGCTCCAATAACCTATTTGTAGAAGCGGAGCTCAACAGAGATATCTCCAGCTCCCTGGGAAAACATGCATATTAGCAAGGAGCACTGTACAGTAGCAGACAGACCCAGTCCAGACTTGTTTATCGTTGGGATATTCAGGAGTGAATGCAATCTCAGTTTTTTAATTCATGTGTTTTGCTGGGGAACTTTAAATAGCTTTTTAATATATATAAAAAATATGCTCAGAAACATGCCAACCAGGAGAACCTCCTGGGCTTTTGCCACTCAGAATCAATCGTTCTCATTTAATAGGTAAGTTGTACCCTGGTGAGACACAGCCCTGTATTAAGGAAGGCAGGGTGCCTGCACTACAAACTGCTCTGTAATAACTGAAATCTAATTATGCAGTGAACTGTGCAATTATTTAATGCATTAAACTTTATTAAAAGAACATTAGCAAGGCTGCAAAGTCCAAATAAGTACTGAAAATTAGGAAATGCCAGATTTGTGGTCTCAATTTTATCCCCATAAGTGTTCACCTTTTGCGCTGAAATGAGAGAAATGTGGTAAAAAGTATGTGACCATTTAACTAATGTAAAAGGGGGCAAAACTAAGGCCATATAGACAGCCACAACTCTGGCAATTCCTAAATTCTGAGCGTTTGACTACATTCTTAATAATGCCTTTAAGGTAGGTTTTTCTCTGATTTCCAAGGCTACTTTTTTTCTCCTGAAGAAAAATAAAACTTAAGAGCATGCCTACCCCTCTATTTTGGGATGTCTTGAAAGCTCACCATCTGTCACGCAAGCTACCCTCCTCATCTATACTATCTTCTGGTTGCAGGATATGGGAAGCACAGAAGAGACAACTCTTAGAACAGGAAACTGAAACAGAGTCTGTTTAGGAAATACCACCCATCACTTGTCTCTCCTTCTATGTTTGTTTCTAATTATGGGCAGTCGAGACAGGAAGCGAGCAGAGGAACAGAGGGTAGGCATCCTCTGCTACTCCTGGGGCATTCAGGTATGTGGACAACACAAGGGAGGAGGTTGAGCTATGGGGAAGCTCTTCCTTGGGATCTAGTGCTCAGCCAAATGTTCATGGGCATTCTGGGTTGCAGAGATGTAAGAAAGCAGGCACCTGCGGCAGCGGGACACATGGGAGCAGCAGTGACTTTTGGCTGCTACTGTGCTGCTGGCGCAATCCTGCAGCTGCAGCAACAGCTGATGTTTTCTGCACCCCTCCCCAAGTCAGTGCCTGAGGCAGCTGCCTCATCACCCTGGCCTAGTTATACAGCTGCTGGGTTGCTGCTAGCAGGAGAGCTAAGGAATTTGTAATGTGAATGGCTAGTGGGCTTGGGCAGTTATACCTTATGCTGTGAACTGCAACAATGTTGATCGGCTTAGTGTTAGCTTAGAGTTTGGAGCAGTTACACCTTTAGCCTAGAAACCTTCTCTGGCCTGATGAGCAGGGGCATGACTAGGAGCTGTAGGAGTTCAGGGAGTGGAAAGTTTGTCCACACAGAATAGGAGGGTGGGGGAGGAACCACTGCATCCTGGGATACTGGAGGTCTTCAACTTGAGTGGCACATCTGTGGGGAATGACCACACCATAATGGAACAGGGGGTGAGTTGTGTAGATCCTGCCCTAGAGTGGCATAACTTTAAGCTGCATAACAACATCACTTTAAGGTGTTAATGTACAGACAGTCCAGGGGTTAAGAGCTCCAGGAGCCACCAAAAATTACCATGTAACAAGGCCTTTACAGGCACCCCACAATTCTGTTATGTACAACTATAACAACCCCCTATCATATACCATTCCTAAGATTTATTCTCTAAATTCTCAACCAGAGTTTAGACTGCTGCCAATGAACTACAAAACTGATTTCATTAGGTATTGTCCTAAAAGAAGACAGGCTGCTCAGCCTAGTTCTTGTGTCCTGAACATGATTGACATGGGGAAGATGGGGGAGGAGAGCTGAACGTATTCCACTTACCCCCTGAACTGAAGGGTTTTAGCCCCATGTGATGCCCCTTGGGGTGGATGGGACCTGCCAACTATTGACACTGACCTTAGTCTGTCTTTCCCTCTTTTTCCCTATTGGAGGAATTCAAACCACACATCGTGCATTTGGAGGATATAGGACTGGAGTAGGCCACTGGGGGCAGGTGCTAGTGCTGGGGGCTGTTTATGTTGTACGGAGTCCTTCATCCTTTTGCTGCCTCTTGTGGGATATGATCTGTGGTCAGGGCTGGGGATTGCTGGTCCAACTTTATTGCTCCCTTCACTGCAGCTCCTCAGGCAGCTGCCAGACGTTTCCAGAACAGCTGCTGCTAATGTGCTAGCAGTAGTGTGACACCAGCTTTGGGATGCTCATGGGTTTCACTGTTATTCTGGCAGGCTGCTGAAATTTCCCCAAGGAGCAAACATAAAGAGATAGGAAATGGTGATTTTATATCTTAGAAAGGTAGGCCATTTATTCTGAAATCTTTTGTTTTGCTGAGGTTAGTCCCCAGCTAGTGCAGGCAAGCAGGTCATATAATCCCAGTCAGACATTTATCAAGCTCCATTTTAAAAATAACTAGGCTTTGCGCCTCCACTAGTGCTAATGGGAAGCTGTTCTAGAATCTCATTGCACTGATGTTTAGAGATTACCTCCATGCTAAGTCTGCATGAAATAGCTGTCGTAAGCAATGTCTGTTACATTAGGATGTGTACAGATGGCAAAATGACTAATGCTACATGCCCAAAACACTTTGTGTTAGCCATGGGTGTTTTAAGTATTGGGGACTGTATTCCTTTTATCTTTCCTTGAAAGGGTAATTGCTTACTCCTAATATTCTTTCTAAGGTGGTTATTCATAAAGTTAGGTGTAGAGCCCTTCTATATTTTTCTCCCTGGCTTGGGAAGCAAGTTCCATATAATTTTTGCACTCAGATCCAAACAAAATTTCCTGATACAAAAAAAACAGGCACTGCTTTAGCCCAGCTGCATTCCCTCTGCCACATATCAAAGGTTTATTGTATTAAAATTAATTATCAGAGAAAAAAAGTGTTGGGCAAATCAAATACAGGAGTTGCTACTAGCTCCCCCTACAGTTCTGATTCTAATCATTATTTGTATCTTGAAAATGTTCAAAGGTTCCACTCAAGATAGGTTTTGACTTGGCCCCTCAATGGCAGCCACAGCAAAGAAGGGTGACATTGGGCATGGAAAATGAATTGCTTACACCCTCTAAAATGTCATATAAGTCACTGCTCATATATATTTGTGGAGGAAAAAGGTGAACAAGACTTTTTCAGCAGCATTAAATAATTGAAGATAGATGGTAGTTGGCAGCTCTTAGTGATGATGATGATGAAGAGGCTGTCCAAACCTCAACTGGCAGTCTTGATTCATATATTTTATGTAGAGGGCTAGAGCTTTAAGTTCCACAGTGAAGCTTGTGAGGAACTGGGGGCAACCTGAAAGGCTTCCTGATGGTTTATGATAGAGGTGCTATTGATCATCTGGTTTCTGTATGTGTAAATTTTAATGCATATCACATGTGCCAAAGTTCTCAAAGTGCCTTTGGACAAGCAGCTCCACTAGGTTTCATTTTAATTAAAGAATTTAGAAGCCCAGACCTATGAAGCTTTGAAAATCTCAGCTTTCCTCAGCCATCAGCTGGGAGACAAGGGAAGGTGATGCCCACAAAAGAACCTTTTCCAAGCTTTGCCTACAAAAAAACTCTACCTCTACATGAGTGTTCAAATTGAGAAATTATTTCCCGTGGATCATACAGAACATGAGCTTGTGGCTGTCTCAACTTTTAGAGTTTGGCCTCTTCCAAAAAATATAAATGATGATGCTTTCCAAAATGCTACTGCCTAATGACACCAGACAGTCCCAGTAAATAATCCAATTCTGCAACCCTCCTCCCCTTGCTCACATAAAAAATGAAATAGCTAACAATGTCATCACCTAAATTACCATGCAAAAGCATCTGAGTAAGGTGAGCAGTACAATTCACACCTCTTGGATTTACTGTTCAAGGCTTTCTGCAGTTTCATCTCTGCATCATTTACACTCAGCTCTAATCTTTGAGGATTCCTTTATATCCATGAGGACTAGACTGCCTTTTTTCTTCCTTTATACCTTCTAGGAATACTGTGTAACTGTAGCTCTGCAATTGAGAGAAGGTCTAAGTAATGATATATGAACCTTGTATCCAGTCCTGAAAGCTCAGCTCTCCTATCAGACATACAGTATGCCCAGGATGAGCAGAGCTGTGTGAGTCAATCAGTTCTTAGCTTTTCCATGGCATTAAACCTTTAGGCTGAGGATTTCAAAGCTGCCTAAGAGAACAGGAGGCCTAATTCCTATAAAATTTACAAAATTGGACTTTCAAATCCCCCAGATGTCCTTGAAAATCTCAGCCATCATATCTCTCATTTTCCCCAATTTGCTAAGCAAATTAGGTTGGCAGCTGCCTCCAAATGTCTTTGCCAGCCTGAGAGTTCATTTATTATCTGGCATGTGTTTGACACCCCTGTCTTGGTCCCAATGTGCTGTGGAGCAGAAATACTGACACTCTAGCAGCTGAAAACTGGTGCAGTTTAGCTTTGAAGTCTTTGGTAGGTGTTGTGTGTAAAATCAGAAAAAATAATTAGTTATGAGGCAAAACTAAGATGAAAGGTCTCATGGCAACAGTCCAGAAGCATCCACAGATCAGGACTACCTGTGTCATAGGAACCTGGAAAGTGGAGCATACTTGTGAAAATATAGGGGAAACAGGTGATGTGCTTACGCAAAGAAAGAGTTTCTATTATGGTGAGACCTATATGTATTCATTGCTAGTGGTGGTACCAATGCATTCTTTATTCTCTGGTCTGTCTTGATCACTGTTTGCTGAGTTCAAGGTTGTATTTGGGCAACTGGTTTTCATCCTGCAGTGGAGAGGTTGAGACTTGATTATTTAAGAAAGCAAGTGGCAGCTTAATTTCTATCTAGGACATCTATAATCATCTACAATGTTGTACCTCTTTTTGTCCAAACCAGATAACTTGCAGTGTAAGGAGACAACACTGACAGCATGTTTCTTAACTGATTCAACACATTCACTGTGATTTTCTGATTAATAAACCACACCTGACAGCTCTACCTAATCAGAAAAAGGTTCTTTTTACCCAAAGAGCTTCTCTGCAGCTCAGAGGCTAAAATCATTTATCTCCTTCTAAAATGTCCTGAAAGACAATTGGTTGTCTTTAAAATGATTTCTGAACTATTCAGCCTTCTGGAGCTTCATTGCCAGCTAATTCTTGCTTGTCCACCTCTCTATCTGTGTTTCTGAAGTGCCTGCCTTTGCAGTCACTATAAATTGTACGATATATCCATCTTCCACTTTCAGCACTATGATTTTTCCCCATGCCCAAAACACCTTCTCTATCCTATCTGGCATGTCCTATTTGTATCCTACTGATCAGCCTTATTTGAAATAAAGCAGTCTTCCTCAGCCTTCATATACCACAGTGCTTGAAGCCTTAGAAGCATATACACTAAATCCACATTCACTTTCAGTCTGAGATATGTAAACTAAATTCAGGTTCACTCTCTGTCTGAGGTTCTACAAATCATGAAGCGTGAAGCACCATATCTGAAGTTCAATTCAGCTCTTCATGTGTTTCTACCTGCTGCTTTTGTGTAGGACAGCTATCTAGTTTGTGATGTTTTTGCCTGTGAGTATCTTCCAGGTAGGAACATCCCTCAGGTTCCAGCTCCTGCACAGCAAGCTCGTAATGCACCACTAATAGCACACAGTTTGAACTTAGCCCTGAGCAGTTTCTGTAACAGCATGTTTATACAAGATTCTCCAAATTAACATTGCTTGTCCCTGTTCTACTACTGTGGTGTGCACAGGGCTTACCACAAGCCAGAACCAAATCATTTTGAGAGGTGCCTAAACAGGATTTAGGTGACTTAAATGCCAACATTTCACTTATGACTGACCTTGTTCCTGCAAACACAAAACCATGGTACCTACAATCATAAGACACCTCCAGTTTAGCCTGAAAAGTTATATGGGAACCTTGGTTTAGCCCTGTGTGCTTGCTCCAGAGTGGTCCAAATCAAGGGTTTAGGTGCCTGATTTCCAACTAAACTTCACTGCAATCCAGATTTTGCTGGGAGGTGCTTAAGCTTCCTTGTAAATCCCTTCTCCATTAGACACTTGCACAGCATGTCCAATTGGCACCTACAGCACAAACACGGCAGTGGTGGTACCCACCTTTTGTCCAGTAAACTTGTGCACTCACCCAGGAAGACCTCAGTTCTTTGAAATTACTTCCAGCTTTAGTCAGGTCATCCTTCCCAAGCAGCCAATCCAAATCGGCGTATGGAAGTGTGTCATTCTAGTAGGACTCCATGTAATCAGATCCTTTGTGCCCTACGGTCAAGAGCAGGATTGGTGAGTATTGAGGAAAGGCCATGCATTTTGAACTTACTACTACACCAGCTGAATGAGAAAACACCTGCTCAAAGGGAAAAGAGAACCATAGGCTATGCATGGGGGGGCACGGGGGTCACGTGCCCCCCCTGACAGTGCTGGTGGCCCCCCTGAGAGTGAGCACTCCAGCTGGTAGGGGGGCACAGAGCGCGCTCATGCCCCACCTGAAATTGGCCGTTGGCGGGATGTCGGCTGGCACTTCCACTGCCACCATGCCACTGGCGCACTCGGCGACCGGCCACTGGGGGACCCTCCCCCCCCAGCCGCTGCGGGACCCCTCCTGATTGTGCCTCACTGGTGCCCCCCCAGATTCAGGAGGCACCAGTCGCCCATGAGGAGAATAAACAGCTGGCAACAGTCTCATGGGGGTTCAATGCTCAGTGGAGCAGTACTCATAAGAAAAAAATAAAATCAAGCCAAATCAATTGAATCACTGATAGATTCACTCAGCACTGCCTTCTGAGGGATGTGTAGGGCACAAAGTCTCATTAGTTTTCTTGAATTAATCCAGTAGCTCTATGAGATAAAAAGCCAGATCATCAACTAGTGTAAAACTTGGTTTTCCAGGCAAACCAAGAAAGAGATGTTCTTCAATACCAACTGAGAATCTAGCTCATAATGCAGAAAAAGCTGAAAAAAACCCCTACCATGTATTTAACCTTGCTCTTAATTTTAGACACTTGCTGTCCCTCTTAATCACAGGATGCTGCTGTATATTACAGTCATTAAATGCATCTGCCGGATGGAGGGTGTGTGCTGCCAACCATCCAGGTCTTAATTTTCTAATCTGTTTCAACCAGTATTAGCGCTGTGCTGGGACATTCACCTAATGCAACATGTCACTGTCCTGGGAAGTGATGCAACCAGAAGCATTGCCAGCAGGCAGAAGCATGTTGTCTGGGTTGTTATTCACCACTGAAGAAGCATACTGGTCTAAAAGAACAAACACACTCTGAAGGAAATTGTGGCTTGTTCTTCTAAGGAGCATAATTTTGATGTCCTAGGATGGGGGTAGACTCTGGTGACCTTAAGTCATCTTTGTACACACTGACCCTGGCAAATAACCTATCCTAACTTCTTCAGCCTTAGGTGCCTCTCTATGATAGGGGTGTCCCATGTGTTTCAGCACTGTCTGGAGCCTCTGAAATGCCATGTGCAGAGCTCCTACTACCATTACCAGGACTTGCAGTGGGGTCCTAAGAGGGCAGTCTTATAGCTGTCTTTGAAGTGCTTGCATAATGATGGTCCTCCCACACATTGAACTTGGATTTGAGAGCTCTTGGATGTTGCTTTTGGCCATTTGTCTACCCAGAGCAGGCCTGAGAATCTCAGCCCCTTGTTTATAGCACAGGCTCACCTTCTTCCTAGTCTTTAGTTTTTCATTAGGAAGGCCAGGAGTCACAAGTGCAAATCTAAGTCAAAGCCTTCTCCCAGGCTTGATTGTGTAATTCCTTCTATAAAACCACACTACCCTAGAACATGTGTCCCTTGGCCAAGTATCAACAGTGGAGATACCCAGGTGCACCTGCCCTAGCGAATCTGCAGGAAACAGTTGCAAGGCTCCAGCTGACGGCAATTTAGCAGAAAAGCATCCCTAGGAACTGAAGTCCTTCCCTTATCTCCAAAACAAGAGGGATCCAGAAAATATCAACACAATTTTCCTCAGAAACAGTGTGACTAAGTGCTGACGTGGTGGTATCATCTCCAAGGGTAAGCAGTGAGTTCTATCTTCACCGCCTAATCAGCTCTGAGATCTCTGTTGCGACTGCCTATAAAGAAGCAAAATAGTGGAAATGATAGTGTGGGCAGAAGTGTGGGTGGAAATAAGATTACCAGACTGATTTCCCACCTTTTAATCAAGGCGTATCAACTTTGTCACTAATGAACTGGGCCAGAATACGAACCAGTGACAAGCATTAGAGTTTCCTATAAAAGTTTTGCAACTATGAGACTTCCATCTCCCACAGAGCCAAGGAGGTTAATATTAGACCTGGCTGAGAAATTTTCCATTAACTGGATGTTATTTTTCTACACTGAAAAGTGTTGATTCATCAGAAGTGAAACTTTTTGTGGGAAGGGGCCAGTTTTGATGATTTTCCCATTTACAAAATAATTTAAAAGAACAGACATTTAAAATAGGTTATGAATTTCAGTTTTGATTCAGTTGAAAACAAAAAGGTCAAATGCTAAATGAAAGCTTCTGAAATTTTCAAAATGCTTTGACTGACTTGAACCAAATTTGTTCTTTTGTAATTATTATTTTTGGTTTGCAAATAGTTTTGAGATTTCAACTTTTCATCCCTACTTATGACAGGAAGACATTTCAACATTTTCTAGGGCAAGAAAACAATTTTCCTCCAAACCTGTTTTAGCACTTCAGGCTGCTCTGTTAATCAATGGCATTACACTTAAATAGAAACTCAAACCACTGAATTGGAATTAAACTCTCACTTGTCAACGCTGCGACAGTAAATACCATTCAAGTTGCACAGGCCTTAGCAGTATGAAATAGGCAAAGACAACTGGCATCTTCCTGAACTTCAATTTCCTATCTCACATGAGTCCATTTGGCTTGGCAGGTTGCTTCATTCACTGTTGTCATGTCTAGCATATATAGATTAACTGATTCAGCACTGGAACGGAAGGTTGTCTCTTGCCTGTTGGGCAATCATTGCTTCTGATTTCTGAAGATGATTGCTTGAAGGTAATATTATTGAAAAGTCAATATCCAGTTTCTGGAAACTAACAGCCTAGGGTGAATTAGTCACCATCCAACATGTCTGTCTTATTTTAAGGGAATTATTATTTTTGATCTGCTGTTTATTTTAAAGATCATATTCTGTTCCCTCACTCATTCCTAGTCCTGTGCCAGATATTGAACTTGCTCCAAACTGACTACTGTAGGAAGGTACAGCTGCTGCCCTAAATTTCAAAGAAAAAAGATCATTCAGAGAATATTTTAACTGGCAGCTAATCCAGCCAATCAGGGCACAGGCTGTTCTTAGCAGAGAAGGCTAAACCCATTCAGAAACACAAGCTGCTGCAAACATTTGCCTCTGTTTAAGTTTGGAAGCATTTTTGTAGGTCTGCCAAACATGGCCAATCATTTCTGGCTTGTTAGTTGGTTTTATATTTGTGTACCTGTAAACTTACTGGCTCTCTTTTTCACATACTATCTCACCATTTTGTAGAGATGCATAGGCTTTAAGGCCTAAAGGGATCATTAGAATGAGCGTTACCCCATCTAATACAGGGCAGTGAATTTCATCCAGCAACACTTGCACTGACTCAAATAACTGTGCCGATAGAAATCATGCCTGCAGCTGAGCAGGAAAAGAGTGTGCCTATCCAATGAAAATCATCATTTCAAACATGCTTCTTTCTAGCCTACATTGGGAATGAAACCAATGTATTTTGCAAAATACACGAGAGTCCACGTAGCCACTAGAGCTGTGTGAAGCTTTGGGCGGTGATTCGATTCGGAGGAGATTCGGCCCGAATTGAATCAAGGAACCAATTTAAAGGTCTGAATCAATTCAAAGCTCTCCGAATCTTCAGCAAAGATTGGGAGAGCTTTGACGATTCAGATAGTCCCTGGTGCCTGCAGCAGGGAGCTGCAGCCACTCAGAGCTGGTAAGTACCAGGGGTGGGGAAAGGGGACTGAGGGAGGGGGAGGGGACCATGGGAGGACCCCTGCCAGCCCCCGCCCCCCCACCTGTGCCCCCAGTCCC